CCCTGGCCCTGGCCCTCGCCCTCGAAGCCGCCGTCGCCGTCGCCCGCCAGCGAGTACAGGCTCATGTTGAGCCCCACGGAGCGCGCCAGCGTCGCCGTGTCCTCCGCGCCGAAAACGTCCGCCCCCAGCGGAGAGCGCGGCTCGGGCGACAGGTCCACGCTCTGCGGCACAGCGACAGACAAGTTGCCTTTGCGTTCACTAGGGGCGCCGGTCATCGCTCCCGTAAGTGTAGTGGATGTGTTTGATGGGCTGTGGCGGTGATCCTACTCCGCCGGATGGCGAGATCCGACGCCGACCTACCGTCGGCTAACGGGGATTCCCCTCCAACCAGGTATCTCCCACCAGTGGGGCACCGCCCCAGCCGGGACAAGCTCTAAGCTCTCGACCGGTTTCCCGGCAATTGTGGTATACAAATGCATGTAAATGTATTTATATGTAAGGGGCGAGGAAAAGCAAGAGGAACGAAAGATTGCGCGCGGTCCGTGGCCCGTTTGTTAAGGTACTACTCCAGTATTTGTCTGGTGTTGATCGGAGAAACCACGGAAAACTAATGATCGGAGCAGCCAGCCGCTGGATTTCTCCTCCAGGCAGCGACTTAATTCGACGTGCGAATCTAGCTAGTGTCGAGAATCCTGCCACCGCATGGGCTGAAACCCTAGGACCTTCTGACCAGATACACTGCAGTGACATCAATTGATACCCCGTCGGCTTGTGGGGATTTTCCCTAATCAGGTGTCTCCCACCAGCGGGGCAACGCCCCAGCAGACACAAGCGCTAAGCTCTCGACCGGTCTCCCAGCATGTGCGCTGGCGTAGTGCATGTTAGTGTGTGTGTAAGGGGTGAGGATAGGGCAAGGAAGAGGAAGGTGAGATCGCGCGAGGTCCGTGGTGCATTTGTTAGCGTACGTCTCCGGCATTCGCTTGGTGTTGAACCCCGGAACACTACCGATTCTCCTCCAGACTGCGACAGAACTCGACCTAACGTTGCAATGACCATGTCGCGACTGTCTCAGCCATGGTGCAACAGTCTAAAATCCGGCCACAGCCGTGTCTGGAACCCTAGGACATTCCGGCCAGGAGCACTGCAGTGACATCAGTTGATAGCCCGTTGGCATTCGGGGGAATCGCCCTCGAAGCGTCCCCACTGGCAAGGCCCCTCTCCAACCGGCACAAGCTCTAACCTCCCGACTGGTCTCCCTCGCGCCGCAGTGCATGTGCGTGTGTGTGCGCTGACCTCCATGCTGCCGGAGAGCGTGCGGCGGGTGCAGCTGCTGCTGCGGCTGCTGCGCTGCGTGAGGCGCGGGAGGCAGCTGGAGCTGGCGCCCAGCGCGCCCCCGCC